GGGGGCCCCCGGCTTGGGCAGGCCCCCCGGGTGCCGGGGGCCGTGTCCGCGGCTGTGAGCATCTCCAGGGACCGAGACCCTGCCGCTGCCCTGGCCAAGCCATGCTTGGTCGCCCTCGTACAAGAAGCGGTTCCTGGTGTTCAGCTGGCAAGGGCTGTGGTGGGGTGGGGGCTGCGCCTGTCACCTCGGGTCCTGGCACTGGGCACCCCTGGGAAGAGCTCAGCTCCACCCTCTTCCCCCAGCAGGTTCTGATGAACCCTGACGCCACCTCCCCGAGCCTTCACGCTCCAGGCTGCGCCATCCCAGCTCCCTCCGCCTTTCCTCCCGGAGAGATGCTCCAGACCCTCCACCATCTTCACGGGCTGTCCCCAGGACGTCCATGTCTCTCTCTGCCTTGGAGGAGCCCAGAGCTGGACCCAGTGCTTCTCCTCGTTGAACTCCAAGAGGGGGCACCAAACCTGGGCTCCAGGGCTAGGCGTGAACGTGGGGTCCTGCCCCTCCTGCCTTTGCCGCGCTCGTTGGTGGCGCCGGAGGACAGACAGAGGCCGATGTGTCGCGGCACGGTGGGTTTTTAATGATCTGCCAAGCAGATTAGAAATGTGGGCGCCAGGGCAAGAGCCGGGCTGGTTGGTGGCTCCCCGGCCACGTCGGGGTTGGGTCCACACGCCAGTAATTTGTGGGGGCTTAACAAAAGGTGTGAGCGAGGCGCCGAGCATCGCTCCTGGCCGCTCACACCAGGCAGAGCCTCCTGGGAGGGTGTGGAGGTGAAACATCCCCCCTGCCCCGATGCAAATGGAGCCCCCCCAGCCAGAAATTCAAGGAAACCCCTTCAAAAATAAGGGGAAACAACAGAGGAGAGGAGCAGCTGGCTGGAGCCACTCATTTAGGGGCATTCCTCCCAAAAGGGGATTTTTATTTCTTTTTTTTTTTTGTCCCTCCCCGGGCAGGGTGCCCAGCCCCACTGCCACCACCCCGAGCCAGGGAGCTCCAGGGTGGAGGGATTATTTCTGTGAGATGCTGGCACAAACCGGAGCACAAGCCTCCTTTGGAGGAAGACCTTGTGCTGCTCTGCTGGACTAGATGGAGCCTGCTGTTGTCATTGCTTTATGAAGCCCCCATAATATTAAGCTTCCCCCATGCTGGCGCATTTTAGATTGAAATCACCGAGTTTCGAGCAGCAGTTTCACAGAATCACAGAATCGTAAGGGTTGGAAGGGACCTCAGGAGATCATCTAGTCCAACCCCCCTGCTAAAGCAGGCTCACCTAGAGCATGCTACACAGGACTTCATCCAGGCGGGCTTTGAATATCTCCAGAGAAGGAGACTCCACAACCTCCCTGGGCAGCCTGTTCCAGTGCTCTGCCACCCTCAGAGTGAAGAAGTTCTTCCTCATATTCAACTGAAACCTCTCGTGTTTCAGTTTGCATCCATTGCCCCTAGTCCTGTCGCTGGACACCACTGCAAACAGACTGCTTCCGTCCTCTTGACTTCCGCCCTTAAGATATTTGTATGCGTTGATGAGATCCCCTCTCAGTCTTCTCTTCTTCAGGCTGAACAAGCCCAACTCTCTCAGCCTTTCCTCGTAGGGGAGATGCTCCAGTCCCTTTATCATTCTGGTAGCTCTCCTCTGGACTCTTTCTAGGAGTTCCTAGAGTTCTAGGAGTTTAGTGCCCGGCCCGGGCAGGCCAGCAGTCCCCCGCAGAAGACAGCTACAGAATCAGCGCCATGGAGGTTGAGGGCACCCACCCTCCTGCTGCCCTGACTACTCAGGCCTTTAATCCGCCTCCCCCTGGAGAAGAGGCTGCTTGGGGTGGGCTGGAGAAGAGCAAGACCCATCAGATCCACCAGCCCCATTTCCCAGCCACCGTGCCATCGTTCCCCAGAGAGTAATTCCCACCGCTTCGTGCGGGCTAACTCAAAGCCCTAATGCTCCCCGGAGGAGATGCCCCACAGCCTAATTAATAGATGCTGATTAATAGATTCCACAACATTTGAAACAAGCTTGTAAATAATGCAGACACACGCCTGTGGCTTGCAAAGAGCAATCCTCGAAGCTCCTGAAGGCCACGTGCCTCTGCCCCGACAGCGCTTGCGTTCGCCATGCAATTAAGAGTAGGGCGGGATGTATTCTGCTGCATCCCAAAAGTGGTCCAGAGCGGCACCGGCAGGCAGGCGCTGAGCTGCTGAGGAGCAGCGTGGTTTATTCCCAGCTGCAGGAAGAGCCAGCAAAGCTCCTCCGGCCACCACCAGCGGTTGTCCCCAGCGCTGGTCACGAGAGCCGGAGAGATGGAGAGACCGCTGCTGCGACGCCCGCTCCAGGCTCTTGCAGCCTCTCTGGGAAGGGGGGGGCGTAGAGGCAGGCGCGGGCACGGTTCGGGGGAAAACCCA